ATAAGTTATTCGAGTTAATTTGTTTTAATTTTAATTTAGAAATTAAGATATAAATAAAAAAGGTATATACATATATTGAATATTAATATAACGTTTATAAGCAAATTTTGACCAATTGTCGGACTGTAAAACGTGTAGATTAAAGCAATGTATCTGGAAGTATTACTAGAATTATATATGACAGAAAAAGAATCATAATTTAAGATAGATTGGTAGAGAAGTGTATAAGGAGGTAGAAAGTATATCAAAGGAGGTGAATCATAATTTTAAACGTTTAGAGTTATAGATTTAAACATTTAGCAGGATTGTAATGTTAGATCTTTAATATGCCTACAAAATAAGTGGTTTCATATCTTTGATTTGACTATTGGGTGTTTTGCAAAAGTTCAGTAATATATATTTTTCCTGCAAATATAAAAACCAAGGTTCGTTCAAAGATGTGCAAGCTCTGGCTTGTTTTCGGATTTCCATTTAACCTTAGGTGTTTTCCTTCCGCCTTCATTTTCAAAAAATTCTTTAAGAAAGCGATTTTATAATGTACTTGACTACCTGAAAATTATTTAGGGCCGAGTTTTGCCGAGTTTTACTCCGATATCCCTAAGGATGAACTTTAGAAATGGGATTGCGAATGTTGCCTTACAAAATCAGAGCTAAATTTTAAGACAGTTCAATTTTCATTCGAAATAAATAAAAAGGTGGTGAGCTTTTATGTAATGTAACGTTCCTTATATGACAGTTGTATTCTCCTCACAGATGAAAATAAGACTTTAATGGTATTGAGTTTTCATGTAATTCCAGCCCACACATTAATCGTAAAATGATGCTGATATCTAGCCTGTAATTTATCATGGGTAATCCGATCCGCCCACAAATGTGTTATTCCATCTCTTCCAAATGTTCTTTCATAGGTAAACATGACACAATACACTAAAAAACAGATCGTCAGTTTGTGCAGTAAACCATCGGCAAACGTCCTTTCGTGGTGAGTTATCAGAGGTCGGAAGACCTTGGACACATTGCAAGTGATACGGGTACAGGCGTTACACTTGAAGTACTCACCATGCGGTAATATGAGATATACGACATGGTAGGGACACTTCATGTGGGATGATATATGGATCGTCTCCGACAGCCTGTAGAATGTGTTCTTCGTGACAGGCGTACGATCCACACTTTGCGGTGCCGTGAATCCTGTTTCACGAATGCGACGATAAACAGCAAAAATTGTTAGATGCCTCGGCTGCCTTCGGTCTGGGAACGTGATCTTATATAGCCATGCAGCCTCACGTCCATTACCATTCTGCGGCCATATGCCACAATCATATCTGCATGCTCACGATATAAATATCCTAACATTGTTAAACGGGACTCTTCTCACGTAACTCACAACTACTCCGGTTAAGCGTTGAAGATAGACTAACCACAAATGTACGGGAATAACAAATATAACCTAGTCTACATTCTAACGCATCATCATATACCGTAAATTAATATAAAAAAACGAAGTATTTGCGTACATATGTTTATGTAGACTTTTTTCCCTTGTTTTTGCGTATGGAACTCGCCCAAGAATTTGTAAAAAAATATTTTTGATGTGCCCTGTATACAGGTTGTGATGTGTAAATTATCGCCATTTTATATTTTTAATTTCGCGCATGCGCATTGTTTTTTTTTACTGCTCAGTAAAGTCGGGTCAGTTGGGCATCGTCTGTTAGAAAAAGAGCACCATGACACAATTCAATCCGTCAGAAATTTGGAAACAGATACTGTACTGCATGGCATTGGCGCCAAAAGCTCCAATACGAATATTTCAGATTGTTTGCGTGTTAATCGGAAGACAGTGACGATTATTCGGAAAGAGTTGGATGAGTCTAATATTGATTACGAAGGTACAACAGTTCGAAAACTCACTTTGATCGTTCTGATAATAAAAGGAATCCTGAAATTGTTGATGAGAGTCTCAGACTTAACAAGGAGCCCTATATAAAGTACCTTGAGGAGATAGTGCCGACCTGGGACAGGAGGCGGCTTTCTGAATGACCCTGTGTTTGGCAACAAGACCCTGCACTATGCCACACAAGAAGGAGAACCCAGTCATGTCTGTCAGGCAATTTATACGAGCCTAACACAACTTACATCTATCCAACTAATTGCCCAGAATGCAACGCCCTTTATTATGTGTCGGTCGAAGTCAAGCTAGAGACCAACACAAATCCTTCTAATACTAAAGATGAACTGAAGGCAGGTATTATGGTAGAATTCGCCAACTTAAACAAGGAGACCGTCCAGAAGAGATGACGATTTTATCGACTAAATTTATTCTTTAATATTTTAGGATATTTTTGTGCAATTCATCCATGTCAATCTGTATATACCCTACATTCCTGAAGGAAAGTCACAGGCACTTTCCATTCTTATTAGTCAGCAAGAAGTTCCACTCGGGCACATATTGATGATTTCTGGAAGAAAGTACCGAGAGGTTAATCTACCGATCACTATAACCTTGACATCTTTAAATTTAAATGCAATGTCAATCGTTATTTTTCTTTTTCTTTCCTCTTATTATTTTATTGTTCTCTCACTTTAATATTTTTTCTTTTTATCATATACTTCCACACTCAGAACACTTTCTTTCTTAGCGGCTATATTGCCTTGCTTTGAGTGAAATGATAAAAATCTTTCATTAATTTTCCGACAAAATCATTCTGATAAAAAAAAACAATTACACAAATACTTTAATAAATGTTCAAATGACTTATATTTCGACAGACTCGTCGCTTTTGAGTCAGATAAATATATTGAATTATTAAGAGATATCTTATTTATTGTGTGCATAGGAAATATTAATCAGCAACTCCAACCAATCGCATATTTTAACTTTGGACAATATACATTCGATCTAATAGTGATTTACAACGGCAAAGCACAGATGCACCGCAAGGCCGAAGATCGAACTTACTAGTAAGTGATATGGCAATACAAGCTTGTTAACCATTACACTACGTCGAAATGCTCGCATTCATTCTTATATTTATGAACTCAATTTGAAAGTAAAACCTGATATCTCCACAAGTGTCAGACAAATATACAATATGTAATGAATAGCAGAGCAATAGTTCAGGTTCTTGAAACTTTTATCTTTAAATCATGAAGCTTATCGTAAAATATCGAAAGCAACAATTAATAAGGCGTTTTATTTGGGAATAGGACGTTCAATGAATTCTAGCCTTGAACACTATCTATTACGAATATTAATTTTCTTGCAATATGAATGATTCCATCCCTGTGATAAATAAACATAAAACGATTTCCTAGAGCAGAAATTAGGATTAGTGTGGGTCAATAGCCATTCGTGCTAATATAAAGGAACATAAATTACTAGGTATTGATAGAAGAAAACATCGGATTAATTTATTTTATTGACGGATTAAAAAGCATATTTTTAACCCATTCATACGCGAGCAAAGGGATAAGGCCCCGGAATAGGAGCCAAAGAGGATGAGAAAACTTTAGAAGGAAACGGAAATCCAATCATAAACAGGAAGTAAAGGATAAACCGTTACTCTTTTTAAAAATAAATTATGTTTTATATTTAAGGCCATTACACATCGCAATATCTTACCTCACATGTCATTATCCGGGTCTTTTTTGGTAGATGGATTCGAGCGAATGAAGCCTGTTGCTTACAGAGAGAATTGTGATTCATCGAAGCTCGTTGCTTAGAGCTGAAGGAATGATAACGAACCAAAAATTAACGGAAACAAATTCAGCTGACAAATTTTAATAGCAACAAAACCAAATTGCATGTGTAACTCGAAGAGAAAACATTGATAGAATGAAGAATTTGACCAACTATTTACTAGAAACAAAAGATTAAGAATGAAACCCTGATCAATACTGCAAAGAGAAATAACAGTTACTGGACGGAAGAATCTGATTTTATTGGGAAACTGTTTTAATAGAATAATTTTATGTAGTTGTGTTTGCTTGTATATAATGTATATCCAATAATCGGTCAACAGTTTTTTCTGGTTCTGAACTTTGATCTATGAAGGTTTTAAATTATAACCTAAATTTCTCGGTCAATCAATCCTGAATGTCTATTTATAAGGAAACGCCTAATATTACAATCAACATCATGATTCGTATCTGTATCTCTCCACGTAATGTGTTCCTATGAATATGACAACTTGCATTCCATTTATGAATATCATGTGTACCGCTTCTGCAAATACATGTTGAGTACATTGAGCTACTTAGAAAGAATATAGGAAATTATGACTATTCTGATTTCTTTTGCTCGCCACACTATTCATACACACATATATATGTATATTACACAAACATATATTTATATACATATATGTGTGAGTAATTGAATGTGAGTAACGTATATCTTACGATTGTAAAGAGGTTTTTGTATTTCTGAAAATTGGCGCAACATTATTTTTAAATAAGCAAATATGATTGATGCCTACTTCACCCATATCAACGATGTTTTGAACAATTGCAAAAGCGAACATCGGTGTAGAAGTCATCCAGAAATATTTTTATCCGAATTATTTTGTATCATTCTCCCTGACAGAAATGATTACGTTCAAGGGTTTTGCCTGCAGCGAAAAGCCAAAACACAGCCATTCTTTTTTTTTTTTGCTGGAATCAATTTGCTACAGACCTTGTAACGTATTCGCTTGTTAGGTGTGTGTGTGTAAATTAAACAAGTTATTTCTTCCATGATGGCTGCGTCTAGAAAACGCGTTTATAATTTATCATAGTATATTTATTATCCGTTGTTTCTTTTTGTTTGTTTGTTTTTTTTAGGCTGGATTTTTATATATTTCTCCCAGAATCAGTTTCTCTATTGAAAACTGATCACTAATTGTCAGCAATTATATTGTAACTGCAAATTAGTGTCATTAATTAATTCCGATAATCAATCTAGTTAATAAGCGGACAGATTTGTCGAGACGAAATTGGAAAGCTAATGGAGAAAAAAGAGATTATCTGGAAAGCTGAATGAAAAATATTGAATAAGAAATAGACGTCAGTAAGATGCAGAGAGAGAGAACGAGAGAGAGAGAGAGAGCGAGAGAGTAAAAGAGAGCGAGAGAGAGTAAGAGAGAGTGAGTGAGAGCTAGAGGAAGAGCGAGAGAGACAGCGAGAGAGAGAAAGAAAGGAGAAAGAAAAGAATCCAGACTGACGAATGAAAAAGTACAACTAAAATGTGCCACAATGAATTGATAATGAAAGAAACAAATCTGTAATGAAAATATGATTGTAAGAAATTTGAATGAAGAGTTTTTTTTTAAAACAATTTGATGACCGACAGATAAAGAATTGGAAAGACAAATATTTAGGGAATGACAAATAAGGAAATGCCCATGACTATAGAAAAAACAATGAAGGAAATGAATGAAAGAGAAACTGAAACACGATGCTGGATCAAAGGAAAGATAATAAAAATTACTTAGAAATAAAAAAAAAGAAAAACAATTGTCCAAATTAAATTATAACAGAGGAGAAAACTCCATAAACGACTTTTGCAAATGGATTCAATTAACGAATAAAAACTGATTGAAGAAAGTATTAATCCGAATTGAAAGTTATCATTTATTTCTACGTTAGGACGCATGAAAAGCCGGGAGTAAATTTACAACATTTATTATTTCTATTTTTGATATGACAGTAAAATTCAATCAGATGTCTCAAAAATACACACTCAATCAAATTAGTTTTTATATTTTATGACGTTCATTTTCAACAATTCTTATAATGCGTATCTCAACAGGTTTTACTATTTAACAAATCTTTAGTTTATATGTCAGATTTATGGTATTCTTTTTCAGATTCTGACACAGAGTACAAGATATGTAGAGCTGAAGCGATAACACAACGAATTGAGCTGAAGAAAACTACACTTATATTCACACACACACGTGTATGAGGATCGTTCATAAAGTTCTAAACCTCACCAAAAAGATTTGGAGAAACAAAACTGTTTTTAACTATTTTTCAATATAGCCCCCTTTTGACATAAATTTGCTTGGTACAACGATAGTTAAGAATTGCTATTCCACCAGGAAAGTTTTAGAAGGCGTCTTGGTCTACCTAAAAATCCTCCACAGCACATATTATCTCATCATTGTTTCCAAAATGGCAACCCCGCAAATGGGATTTGTGGTCAGGAAACTAGGAAGAAGTCAGATGGACTTAAGTCTGGTGAGGAAGTGAGATGATGTGGCAATTTAAATAGAGAGATGGCTGATTCTGTTGCTTCAAACTGAGCAGTGTGAACGTGAGCGTTACCTTAGCGGAAGGGGCCATATCCCGTCAGCTTCACTCTGCGTTTCGACTTGATTGATTCTTTCAGTTGTCTTAATTCTGATGTATAGCACTGTGCATTAATATTTTTTCCCTTTTCCAGGTAGTCTACCATGATTACCGGGTTAGAGTCCCAAAACACAGCCGCCATCACATTCCAAAAATGCTGCCCGCTTGAACATCTTCAGGAGTGAGAACGATAATTTTCCCTTGTTTGCTTTAAATTTTTGGTTCAGATTTAAAAAGTTGAACCGAGGATTCATCTTGAGTTACTAATTGCATGGGAAATATTCAGGGTCAGCTTTGAAGCGAGTCACAAGTGTCCTGGTAATGCCAGTCAGCTTTCTTGGGACACATCTTGCAGACAGCCTGCTCATCCCTCAAATCTCAGTTAGCTCAGTTACACATAGCTGTCAGCTGTGCAGCAAGACATCTGCTATCGAAAACCATTCTGTGAATTGCAACAACTCGATCATCAACGGTTGCTGTTTTTTGACAACCTGACCGAGAGTGATATTTTATGCTCTCTCTAATCCACTTAACATTTGCAGCCCTCTTTTTCACAGCTGCATAAAAAGAGGTGACGTCAGCACTGTCTGTTCCATGTCTTCATGGATTTCCTTGGAAGTCATAACTTTTTAGAAGATACTTTAGGACTACTAAGATTCTCTTTGTCCAGTTTCAGATTTGCCGGGGGTTTCTTGCATGCTTATGGGCCTCACCTGCACAGCAATTAAGACAGGTTTCGAAATTATTTTTCTAGTTTTATAAGAAATTATAGTCTGTTGACACACCAAGAATGTTTAGCTACATCTCTTCACCCTGGGTGAGGCCTAGAACATTTACAACGAACCACATCTATGCATGCATATATTTGTTGATACATACATCATACATACGTTCAAAAAATATATACATTCGCACTCATTCGCACATTCTCATAAACTTTAATATACCTAGTCCAATACTTTCTAGCTCTCTGCATCATTTGCTTAATAACAGACAATGAATAACGCGTACCACAGATATAGACCTTTCGTACACCAAGGCAAAATCTGCCTCTTTTTCAAAGTTACATAAAAGAGGTGTCTTCAGCACTGTCTGTTCCATGTTCTCATGGATTTCCTAGGGAGTCATACATTTTTTGAAAATATTTTATGACTACCAAGGCTTCACTTTTGTCCTAGTTTTAGGTTTGCCGGGTACTTCTTATGTTTATATGAGCCTCACCTGCACAGCAATTAAGACAGAATTTCGAAATTATTTTTCTAGTTTTATAAGAAATGGTAGTGTGTTATCAAAGTTCTGCTATGGCTCTAACTTCTGGGTGAAGCGTAGAGCTTTTTCAACGAACCATGTATATTCATGCATAGATCTTTTATATATACGTCATACACACGCATAAAAAATAGACATCTACACTCATGCACACACTTACATAAAATTCTTTAATATACTTAGTCTCACGTTCCTATACCACGTTCAAAAAATATATACATATGCACTCATTCGCACATTCTCATATACTTTAATATACCTAGTCCAATACTTTCTAGCTCTCTGCATGATTTGCTTAATAACAGGCAATGAATAACGCGTACCACGGATATAGACCTTTCCTACTTTACAGAAGAATCTGCCTCACAAGTGTGCAGAAGATCATCAAAGATAATGAAAATAGACTTTGCCTTAAAAACTTTTGCCGATCGAGAACAGGTGTTTCAAGCCAACTAAAATATATGACGTCTACTTGCTTAGTGGCATAGCACATATTTTTATATAAGGACAGTACACACTCAACGCTAGAGGCCTAAGAAGGAAATTGACCCTCATCATGCACTCCACTTTCTTGAACCAATAACAAAGCAGGTCAAGTCAAGTTTCAGCTTTTCATAATCAGGCGAACCACCGAACCACAAAAGTCTTAGCGTCTGTATCTGTGGCGTAGCCACTTAACAACGTGGAACACAAGATTTCTGTCTCAATTTCAAATCTCCTCCCTCAATACTGTTTCTGTTTTACATCTTTGAAGGAAATTGCGAGTAATTCACTCCTCTAAAGGATCATAGTTATTACAAACAAATAAACAAACATACAACAAAGTTTACCTGCTGGTAATATTTAATTTTTGGGAGTTGCCGTTCGCTATTTCATTGTGTCCTCGGATTTCTATATCACATCTTCCATCTTAGGATATAACACTTCCTGTGTACGTAAATTAATGTATTTACTTTGACATCTCTAGATAGCGGCTCGCATTTTGGATAATCATTCTAGCTAATAATGTCTACATCAGTCCATCGAGTTAATGACTATACCCTCCTTCTTGCTTTCCTTTACTAGATTTTTCACACGTACAAATTTAATGACAATAATAGTGATTAGTATAGATATTTCCAAAAGGATATAAATCCAGGGAGCGCTCTATGTTAGAAACAGACCGATAATTATTATTATCAACGGTAAAAACTCTATATATATATAGGTTATACTTTTTCCTTAGGGTTGTAAAAACGGCCCCAATTCACCAGACGCTTTGGATTTAAAGGTCCGATGAACTAGGACCCAAATGAAATGCATATAACTTCATTGTGCCTTATATATATATATATATATATATATATATATATATATATATATATATATATATGCCAAATTGTAATTGGTAGGATTATTCCAAAGTTAAAGTTCAGTCCATATGAGAGCCAGTGTGTGTGTGTGTGTGTGTGTGTGTGTGTGTAACTTTCTGTAACTAAATTGAGAACTCTCTCTCTCTCTCTCTCTCTCTCTCTCTATATATATATATATATATATATATATATATATATATATATACAGTGTGTCCATAATGTTCGTGGGTACTTTTAAAAAAATTATAACTACATTTGTATTTGTGATAGAATTAATCTGTAAAAAATGCTATAAAGTTTAATGTACCTAGTTTAGCATAGTTATTAAATAAATCTTTACCACAAAATTTGCAACAATTTTTAGATAAGTAAAAATAATATTTTCTTTTTTTCCAGCGTTAATATCCTTTGTATTGTTAATTATGGAGGACGTTTGGAAACTTAAATAAAATTTCAATAAAGCCTAAAAAATGTAGATTTACTTCTTTCGAATCCTTTTTACAAATTATTACTATAGCAAATACAAATAACGCTATAATCTTTTAATGTCTACACGAATATTATGGATACGATATATATATATATATATATATATATATATATATATATATATATATATATATATATATATATATATATATATATATATATATATATATATATATATATATATATATATATATATATATATATATAATTTATTTATTTTATTTTAGCATATTACTGGCGTTTGCAAATGACTGACAAGTGATGAGATGCTTTATTGCGCATAGAAACACAACTGCATTTGTGTAGCGTTTTTTATATATTTTTGACGTAATATCCTAAAATAAAGATCATTGGTCTTTTTTATTGAACCGTCTTTTAAATTGAATGTTACGAACATCGGAATTGGATTCTATTCGTTCTTATTTTATATATATATATATATATATATATATATATATATATATATATATATATATATAGAGAGAGAGAGAGAGAGAGATATGTTTACAGAGGCTTTATTAAATATAAGGGATATAGAATGTTGGTTAAACGTCTACTAATTTATTTACCTGATAAGGATAGATATTTGGAGTACTCGGAACATTGAGAAATAATTTCGGCAAGTAGCTTTACATGCATTCACTCGATATTAAAAACGTGTTAAACTGTGTATTCGACATGAAACGAAAATATATATATATATATATATATATATATATATATATATTACTTTCATAATTAACTAGCGTTGTTTTTTCGTCTTGATACTTTGTACAAAATGATGTATTTCATCTTATCTGAAGGTCATCTGGTTAATGTTGTGCACCACAAACATCAATAACTCTCTGTCATCACGTGAAACTTGACTGCAACTTTTATTATGAAATCGCATTCATTAAGCGTCGTGGGTATTTCGCTGAGATAAAATTTGGCAAGCAACAATTTGTAAAGAAATTCTAGAAGGAGGAAGCGGAAAGTAAATAAACTTTTTGATGTTTTTGTACTTTTGTCTTGGCATAAGTAATTGTTTTCCGTCGACGTCTCGAAAGCACTTTAGGAGACGGTGATTCGTACACAAGGGTCATAAATAT